ATTATCATTTGAAACAAGTGATTTATTTATATTTTATTTTCATGGTTTTTTTGGTTCATACCTCCATAACCGCATTGGCACTTTTTGATTCATTTGCACTTTATTAATTTTATGGTATTCAAGTTTTAGCGCTGCACCTATTATATATACTATAACAGATATTCTCCACTCATTTGTTTTTTCTGGTGTCATCAACAGTCCTCTTGCTGACTCTGCTCACTCCCATCTGATTGGCTCTAGCCAGCCACTCTAACAGCTCTTAAATACCATCCTTTCCCTAGAAGGGCCAGCTTGAAAAAGTAGTCAGGACCTCGGAAACGCGTTGCAGTCTGCCCCTCCCCCCAGCCTGTCACATTCTCCTGTCTGCCTTCCTGATAGTGGTGTGATAGATGAGAGACGCCACCAATTTACCATCTTGCAGCGAATCCCTGCTTGTGTCCTGCAGCGCTATCAGTCCATCCAGATTGCAGTGAGCTGTATATCGCACCACCACTCTGACACCTGGAGCAGTCTACAGGACTTTCAGATGTAAGTGAGAAATGGAATTAATGTGTTGTTTTTAACCATACACTAATCTGGTGCCCTGCTCTGTTTCCTTTGTATGGTTGTGAGGGATTACCCAGATCCACTGGCCAGGAGACAGAGTGTGTATCTCTCAACCACCTTTCCAGCCATCCATCCACCTGATCTCTGAACTCTATGGATTATTCACTGTGGACTTGATTGCTGATTGTGGTTGTTTAATCACAAGTTGCACTGGTTACCGCCATCCAACATGCAGGCTGCACGGTGGGTTCACGATCCAACCATAGTTGATAGTCCCCATTCATGACACCAAGGTTTAAATTCCCTTGCAAAGTAAAGAGACAACTTATTTTTAGCAACTCAACCCCACTGAGTAACATCAATAATGAGCTTTGCATTTCTAAAGTAGTTGAATGGCCTCTCATTAAAAAATATGTGCTACAGTACATCTTCACAGTTTCCCCTTATTCCACCTGCTACGTTCCTCAAATACCTGTCTATCCTACCACCTTCAGCTGTCGCCTATATATAAACTGTGTCTGCTTGCACTACAGTGGTATTAGAAAACATTGCAGAAGGTGTGACTATTAGCATTGTCACAACACCCAGCATGGTTTAGGCTCCTGGACTGCATCACCCATTGCTCCAAGATAAGTTCAAAGGGGTAAAATTAGCACATGGAGTGGGGTCAATGGGTTAATTTTTATGACGTTTAGACTTTAGGCCCCCTTTGTACCTATGCATCAAGGTTAATGTGCATTACCCCAGTGTCCCATAGCACACAGTACTTTTTGTGGTGCCATTCATTTAGATGACCTCTCAATGCACAAGTAGAAAGAGGTGTCAACAGACCTGCACTGAAGCACTGTAATACTGCATTATTTAAATTAGCCACACCTAATTTTTGCTATGGTGTGCTTCCCTTACACTATAAATATTTTGTCAAGGCTGACATATCTGTATTTGAGGCATGTGCATCACACAGTAACTGCATTTTGGGCCTGTTTAGACTGTTATAAAGGAGCCTTTTAGATGTACTCAAGAGATACAGTGACGTCAATTATCAATACTTACTGGCATAGATAGCACAATGCTGACACTGTATATCCAGTCTTCAACAAAACACTAATGATCCATACTTTCAACACTGATATAATGGATTATTTGCCAAAATATGAGTATAATGATAAAATCTGTCTTAACTTTTAATGGACCATTCACACCATTGCTGTGAACAGGCTCATATGACCCCATGCATTACCACAATGCACAGTAACACTTTACACGCATTGACATTTACTCTTGGAATGCTTGCATTGCAGTACGGTGCTGAAAGTGCTCTAAGTACAATTTGTACCGTGTTGTTGTGTGGTTCAACTGGATGTGCTACTTTAAAGTAATAAATATTAAAAGTGTGAACCAGTTCCTGGTAATGCAATGTGTTTAATGCTTCTGTGAAGATCAGACTTGTGTGAATGGGTTCTAAATGTTGCGAATCAAACACTCTTTGATGGAATGGTGTTTCATAGTAATTACTGACATATAACATATATTTATCTTTCATGGATACTGAAAGAAAGTAAGCAAAAACAGGCAGACAGTAAATGATCACATGCCCGCCAACAGTCTCCTTCTATCAGCCCGTACAGAAAAGACATGGAGAAATACCCCAGTGGGCCAAGCATTTACTGCTAGTAGGAAATGATCTATGCTAACTTCTGTTTGTGAATGAAGTAGGAGTGGTGGTGGCATATGTTTTATAAAAGATGGTTGGTTCAGGAGTCTTGTAGTGTATGATGTCCTGAGATAATGCCTTGCTATACAGTATATCAGGGATTATATTTAAAATTGCACTCCAGGTAAAAAAAAAATATTGTTTAAATGCAAGAATGATGTATAGTCTTCCTTGAACCTTGGTGTGGTTTGTGTATTTCTTCAAGATCTGTGCAATTATTCAATGTGAAACTTTGCCTCTGTACAGGAACTTTCTGTAATAAAGACTGGTCACTGCTGCCCTCTCTTTTTGTGTAAGGTGACTGGTCTGGTCTCCGCCCCCTATTGTAGTTTTCAGCAGGCAGACAGTAGTGGGTGGAGCCTGCTGTGCTGCCCCTCCACAGCTCTGCTCTCTGCTCAGATTTTGTACAGCACAATGATGTCAGCATTGCTACTTTCATTATATTTGAGTTTGTAAAGGCGTTCAGTATACACAAATTAGAGGTTTGTCCTTTCTGGCTATTGAAGATTATATTTAATTAAATGGTTTTTGTGTCTGGGGTTCAGTTTTAGGTGAAACTGTTCATGATTTCTCATGGTTCAATTCTCAGAAAATGTTTTGGACATTTTACAAGAGTCATTAAGTGCATTCAGTTTTTTAACAGAAAATTAGTGGCTTTTGCTCTTTACATTTTATTTTATACTTTAACACAGCTAATAAAAAAAAGAAAATGTTAAACAGTTTTAAACACAATAGGACACGATGTCTTTAGCAAAAAGGGCAACACAAACACATTAGAGAATTATTCAATTTTATTATGCTTTTTGGCTGTTTGAACATGATTGCCGTTGTTTACTGCTAGTTGTGTGTCAGTTAATTATAACTAGAAAAAAAATAAATAAAAAGAAGCATTCAAATCAAAGGTTTTGCACAACTTACATGTATTTTCACTGACTGGAACATTAATAAACAGATACTCTTTCTAACTGGACCAAGGTGATTTATCATTACAGCACTGGGACATAATGAAGCTGAATTGATATGGGTCAGTAATTATGTTTCTTTGTTTTCTGAGCCCTTTGGTCATTATATTCATGAAGCGGAACAAAAAAGATTTCCTGTTTTAGCAAACACACAGGCAAACAAATGTATTTTTGTCAGTTCTACTGGATGAAATTGGATATGAATGCTCCTTGGGGAAAATCCCTTGGGTTCCTATATCATTCTTAGGACCATTATTACAGAACAAAAAAAAAAAAAAAAACTTCAGTGCATAATGGTTTATAGATTAACATAGGAACTCAATGCTGTAACTCTTAATCCTCTATGTGCTCTTGCTGAATTGCACTTACTTTATGCTACGAGATACCTGTGACATCAGAAATTATAACATATAGAATTTTTTTGTTTCTTTAAGTCACATATATATGGTAACAAGATTTCATAATAAATGGCTACTATATTTGTATAGAAAATAATTTCTGTTTTAACAAAACACTGATGTTCATAATGGCTTTATGCATATATTGTACTTTTTATGTTAATTTCCAAAGGACGATCTTGTATTAGATTTATCTTGCTAGGAATGTTTTATTTTTCTCATAAAGATTCATAGCTGTAACTGTCACAATACTAAACCTCCGTCATTTACTGCAAGTCATAAGACACAAATGGGCCATTCTGATCTGCACTATTGACTTCCACTAAACAAAATATGTCAACAGTTGGCTACACTTTGTCAACCTGGATGACTATACGTAATTTTTGTTCTGTTACAGTAAACTGGTCCATTGTTATACTAGGTATAAAAAATAACTCAGCTCTGTATCAAATCATGTATATGTCTTTATAAACATTGTCACACAATAAATATAACCAAGCATCGATTTAGCTTTAAAATTTTCAGCTAGTTACAAATTAAAGTAAACAAAATTAAGTTTGGGAATCCAATGAACAGTTTTTAATGCCATGGTTACCATGTTAAACATCACTGAGCCAAAAATGGTTTGTTTTATAACAATTAATTTCTACAATGGGGAACCAACATTCAAATTTAGTTTTTCAATATATTCTGAATTTTATTCCAATAGAAACATGTACATTTTTGCATGTATTAAAAAAATAAAAAGTATAACAAGCCATTCTGTATCATGGACTAATGCTTGATTGGCTACATGTGATATTTTAATATGAGAGTCATGGCTGGACTTTCTGAAGTCATCATTATTAGTGGAGACAAAGCAACAATCTCTCCTTTGTATTGCTTCAGGTTGGGTGTTTATAAAATAAGCCATACCAATTCACTTGTAATGTGAAACCAACAAGAAAGAATGATGCTCAGCTTAAACAAATGATATCTATAGATACAAATTACACTCTAGAATATGTTTTTGGACATGTGTGTCATTTTTGTATGCAAATCCTACACTGTAGGTTTTGTTACTTTTTTGTTTTCAGTGGTAGAAAATGTTGAGCAGTTGTCCATGAGAATGAGTCAAGTTTGTTACTGAGATCCCCAGAATGTCAATATTTGCAATGCAAAGAATTAGTGAAACCACTCCATGAAATGCCCTCAGGTTCTTGCCCACAGGTCACTGGGCTCTTTAACGCAGCTCTAGACTGTCTTTCCAATATCACAAAACCAGTTTGACACATTGGCAGCCTCTTGTAGCTGCCTACACCCAGCAATCCAAATTGCCAGGCTGTTTTAGTGAACAGAAACAATGCCAGAAGATATCAAAGCTCTGCTTGTAGCAATCTGCTAGATCATTTTCATGTTAAATCTTCTGGGTACAGTGCCTGTGACTTCTGCCTCCACTACAGCACCATTGTTTTTACGAGGGACATATTCCAGGTCAATGCTAGTTTTGTGCTTCCCTTTCCCTCGGCTCCAAACAAAAAGCAACAAGAAGCAAAATAAAAAACCACCCAGGAATGTAAAGCAACCCATAGCTGTAGACACCAGTATTGTCTTAAGATCCAAGGAAAATGTCATGTTAGAGTTGGTGCCATTAGTGTTGGTTTCATTTAATTCCGTAATGAACATGGGGGTCATGTTGGTGTAGGATCGGTCAGGAACAAATCCTTTCACAGTAAGGGAAGCTGAGAAGGTATCATTTCCAGCAGCATTACTAGCAACACAAACATACGTTCCAGTGTCTTGAACCTGGGCATACCTTATTTCCAGAGTGCCATTGACCAATACTGTGGCTCTTCCATGGGATTTTGCTGAAACCATCCTTCTTCGGGGGGTAACCCAGGCAATCATTGGCTGAGGATCTCCATCAGCGTTGCAATTCATCTGCACCCTCTGCCCCTCATCTACATGCAACTGTTGCATTTCTCTTTCCCTGATTTTAGGTTTTTTACATATAAAGTATAGAGATAATACAGTGCTGTGGAATTCCTTAAAAGATTTCTCTTTAATATTGTCTGGGCTAGCACATGTTGGCTGTTGGCCTCCAAAGTTCAACATGGGATGCCTCTGCAACATCCAAATGAGACGACAGTCACATATCAGTGGGTTATTATCAACACAAAGTATTTCCAGAGCCTTTGGAGAGTGGAAAACATTCTCTTCTAATGTTTCCAACTGGTTCTGAGACACATTGAGTAAGCGCAGGAACCTAAGTCCTTGAAAGGCATGTGGTTCAATAATGCGTATTTGGGCTCCAACCAAGTGTAATTCCTGAAGGCGAACCAAGTCTCCCAGCGCTCCTGCTTCAATACTGCTAATGGGGTTAAAGGAAAGATTTAGGTGCGTTAAGTATATCAAGTGTTTTAAAGCATGATAGGGAATTATTGAGATATTGGTGTAGGTAATTGAGAGATATGTCAGGTTCAGCCCATAAAAACTGTTTGCAGGTATGATATCCAGAAGAGGCCAATAACTGATATCCAAAATTTTCAGCCGGAACAATCTCTTGAAGGCAATTTCAGGCAACGCGTTAATGTTGAGATATTTTAAATGGAGACTATAGAGGTTGTGTAGATGTGAGAGGGCATCAGTGGGTACGGCTGTTAAGTTGCATTTCTCCAAAGTGAGCTGCTCCAGACTAAGCAGTCCACTAAAAGCTCTATGTGATATAAAAACTAGCTGATTATCTCCAACTTCAAGGGACTTTAAATTATGAAGACCCTGAAACATATAGTCTAATAAGATAACTATTTTGTTTTCACTTATATCAAGCTTAGTCAAATTTGACAATCCTGTGAAGACACCCAGGTCCACCAGTTTTAAGCGATTCCCTTTTAAGCTCAAAGAACGTAAATTGAAAAGATTAAAAGCTCCAGGCTCCACGTTTGAGATGATATTGTCACTGAGATCTATCTCCTCCAACAAAGGATAAGTCAAAAAAATCATCTGGGCCCACACTTTTTAGTCTGTTCTTGCTTAAATCCAAAATTTTAGTCTCTATTGGGATGCCCTCTGGTATAGAAGTGAATCGTTTCCGATGACAGCTGACAGACTTGTTTTGTGCTGAGCATTCACATTTGGCCGGACAGCCTAGAGTGGTCCCAACGAAGACCAAAACCATGGTCACACACAGGATTAAATGCCAGCAAGATGTAGCCGTGTGAAGCATGACTCCTCCCATGAAGTATAACTCTCTGGTCACGGACCTAAAACAAGAAAAAAATAAAAGGTGTAAAAACAGCATGAATACGTTATAACATTAACTCATAATGCAGCATTTTCCTTCATACATGTCAGTTCAACAGTCTGTAGAAATATGTGCAAAATGTTATATTTGACTTTACTTTTATATGATTTCGAGCAGGCAAAAGCCTGATTCATTTTTCAAGTTTCTCTCACTTGATGAGTAACAATGATGAAATCATGAAAGTGCTACTCCTACTATGCAGCAATTTATCACCCTCCTTTTTAGTAATGCCAAGTACAATTAATAGATAAACAGAGGCTAGAGATGCAGCATTCAAGAAGTATTAATAATGATTAAGCAAAATGTTAATCAAACCATAATATGCTGTGAAAAGCACTTTAATCATTTAGGAATATGCAAGCTTGTAATATTTTATTGTTTTCACAGTGTGGATAGTAAGCATGACTGCTAGTAATTAAGTCAGCTCTCTTAGAAAACCTTCCACAACATAATATGACAGTGTTCATGTTATAAGGTTGTAAAATACAAGGAAGATGAGACTATGATTGAAGCCAACTATGACAGTCTGTTCCTGTTCACTAATTATTTTGCACATTAGGTAAATCAGAATCATATATCACATTTCAAACTTAGAATTCAATTAGAGATAGCTTCCTCTTTACTGTAAAAAACATTCCTTGTTGCATTCGCTATAAAGATGGCCTTTAGAAAAGTGTAAATAAAATAGTAGGCTGTTATGTTGATCATTTCAACCAAGCAGTATTCCAGGGAAGATAAAGCACTGTTTTCTGTTAGCTCTATGTATCTTGCAATGGCAGTAATCAGGCATGCCACCTACATGTTCACAATGAATGACAGATATGGCACTGTTTAAAATATTACTCAAATGTGACATTCTTAAGGCTTACAAAGAATTTCCCACTAATAGCAGATATCTTACATCTTATGCTAATGCACATATTCAGTGAGACACAAATTCCAAGTATAAAGTGCAGCACCTGCTATAGTTAGCTGTTAATAGTAAAGCTGTTTGCTATAGATCCACAAAAGCATTACCTTTCGATCTATTCTTCAGCTAACCTGGTACCACTTCATATTTTGATTCTGTTTTTACAACACTAAGATCACACAAACATAGCTTTCCAAAAATCAAGTATGATGTTGTCAGCACCATATCACATTTATTTTTTATGAATGCCTGCAATGATGAATTAATATTTCAGCACATTGAGATTAAAGGCACCTACTTTTTTTACAAACTGTGATGAACTCAAAAACATAAAAACAGGCTACAAAAGGATATCATTAATATCCTGCCCTGCCTTACAAAGCTCTAAAAAGCTGTGACTGTGCAAATTTTTCATGCATTAGCCTGGGGTATAATGAATGGAGAGGTATGTAAATGAATTAAAAAAATGGACAAATGTAAAATGAAAACTATAGTGGGTACAAATTGGCAGTTGTTACCTAGACTGAACCATTACTGAAAAGGTAAAGGGTTTTTATTGCTCTCTGTCACTGTTGGGGATATTTTAATTCATATATCATGTTGCAGGTACCAGTAACAGGGACAGAAAGTGAAGGGAAAGCTTCCCACAAGGTCTCTGACAGCAGAAATAGACCAGACAGAGGTTCTGATTTTTCTTCACTCTGCTGCATTGCTCCCAGTGTTCATTTTCTATAATTTCCTACCTCAAGTGACCACCAAGAGAGGAAGGGAGTGGAAATCTTTTCAACAGGAGCACAGTAATAAAGATCTGACATAGGTTCTAGAACCTCTCACACTCTTTACAAAACTTACAAAATTGAGTAGACTTCTATTTTAATTTACTAATATCTTAGCACAGCCTTCTTCAACCAGGTGACCTTGAGGTTTCTTCAGGGGTGCTTTGGTAAAATGCCTAAAAATTGCCCAAAAATGGTATACAAGCCAGCAGGTGGATCAACCCTTTCTTTTAGTTACACAAAGCCACAGGTTTTCATTGTGTACCATTACAACTCTCTAGCTGTCGGCATGCCAACAACCAATGACATCATTAGTTGATAAGAAGGATATCGGTCGTCTGCCCAGCATCCTTGTTTACCCCTCCCTTGCCCCTCTCCATCAGTGCTGTGGTCACTGAGTGATGGGGAAAAACTGAGGGAGAAGAGAAACACTGGAATACTAGTCAGTACCAGTGTGCAAAAGTGTATTTGATTTGGAAGAATAAACCGTCTCTAATGTTGGGTGTCCTACGTGTGTAGATGTTGATGCATTATGTAAAACGATTGGAATAGTTTTTTACATTTTAGAATGGGGTGCCTTGAGGCTGTCCATAATTTTAAAGGGTGCCTTGACATTGTCTATAATTTTAAAGGGTGCCTTGACTGAAAAAAGGTTGAAAAACACTGTCTTGGCATACCAATAGTATTAAATGACATGAATAAGTCCTTTGGCACAAAGTATCTCATGCCTCAGTGTTATTGGTTAAAGTGTTCAAATGGCCCCAGAACTCATCTATACATCTATATGATGAAATGAGGATCTGTGTGGATGAATGTCTGAAATTCCAAAACCCTTTTGGCAGAAGTTATGGCTACCAGTAAAGATACTTTCAACATCATTATCCCCAGAGTCAGCGATTTAGTGGGGAAAAAGCCAATTTTGTTGGAGTTTCAAGGACCGTGGACAAATCCCATTTGGAAAATGAAGGTTTCCTTGGCAGTCTTATTTTACACACTAGCTTTTATGAACTGGATAGAGGATTTATAGTCTGTTTGATCCCTGTAAGCGCTGACAATGCTGAGACATGTACTTTAGGTTTGCTACAGCCTAGGCCTTTGTCAAGGCCCAAATGCAAGAAATGAAACATTTGAGCAGGCTTTGGTAACAAAGGATTCCTGGACCAATGTTCCACAAAGTATACAAACTGTGACCATAGCTTCTGGTAGGTTTTGTTTTGTAGAAACTATTCAGAAGAACATCCCTGGTTTAACAGTTTTCTTCTTTCAAACTCCAAGCTATTATGTGTAATTGTTTGGGAGACAGATGGAGAAAATGACCCTGAGAAAGTAGGTCTGCTGTTAGCTGTCGAGCCATTGGCACTTGAAGTTCCTCTGCAAAAGTGTTGGGAACAACTGTTTCCTCAGCCAAAAAGGTACAACTGCTATCACAGTTACTGGAACATGTCTGAGCTTGGCTAAAAAGATTACAGGTGTTGGAGGGTGTAATGCAGCTGAAAATTCCATGCAATGTAAGAAATCCACTTCTTCTATTGTCAGGTATGGGGTTCTCTCCAGGAATCTGATACATTTCAAATTCCAGATCAATTTTTCATAATCCCCACTTCAGGGTCAACTGATGGAAAACCAAGTATGTTCTACTCAAATATTACAATTGACCTATGTCTTGTCCAATTCTCTAGGCATGTCAACCATGAAATTGTCATCTTCTGTTGAGTAGTGACTGCCACACATTGCTGAATCAGACAAATTTCACTCAGTGTATGGCCAACTTTAATCTCAAGCTCTCCTGTGGTTCATGGGGCATGTTTGGGAGTAAGACTGCTTTCTATGTGTAAGACGGGCAGTCCAATTCCCCTGGTGTTGACAGCATAAGGTCCATGCACACTGGGCGTTTTGATAATGCTGGTAACGTTAGCTGTGTAAAGTCACGTTAAAAATATGAGTTTTCAGCATTTTTGTAGTGTTTTTGCATTAGCGTTCAGCGCCATTTTGCCACGATTAATGGCTTTTCCCTCATTTGCGTTTATTTTGAACAAGAAAAAAATTTTTTTGGTCAAAAAAAGTCCAAAAACGCAGGTTTGCAGCATTTTACCACGTTTTGCCACATTTTTCAGTGTTAGAGCATTTTTACAGCTAAAAAACTGCTCTAGAAATCAACTAGTCCTGGGGTTTTTTTACAGCCAAAAAACGTTGATTACAGTCTATGCGTGCTTGGAAACATAGGATAACATGCTGCGGGGTTTACTGGCTGTAGAAAAAAAACATCAAAAGCCAAAAAATAGCAGCTGTAAAAACATCAAGTGTGCATGAGGACTAAGGTTGTTTTAACACATACAAAAACTAAACAGAGGCATACGTATTACTGTAGATGCAGACTGACTGTATTACAATAATACATTAAGAAGGTTCAGTTGGACATTGATTGCTGATATTGCACGTTTATGAAGCTTTGGAATATACATAGTAACTAGAGAATAACAACCCTAGAACCATTTATTCCTGGAAAACAACAATGCCTATAAATGAGCACACTTTATGTGCATGGCTACTGGGATGTACTTGACTTCTGTTTGACATGACTGATTTCCACAATGGATTGTAGAAGATTAATTATATCTGTTTCAGTGGGAGACAAAGAAGCAGGGAGCAGAGCACACCTGGATGGACTGGATCTTCTGGTTAACTACTTGATACAGCAAATGAAACCACATTCAGAACTATTTATATTAACTCTGTCATTTCATCTAACCTTCCATCTATCTACAAAACTACAAGTTTAATTAAAGCACGCAGCCTGTACTTTTTTTTTTATTTTACAGTATATTCACGTACAAAAAAATACACTCTCCACATCTAATGCCACAGGCAATTTCAACTTTTTTTATTAGCTGTACATTCAAGGCAGGCTTTGTGTGAGGAGACAAGTATGAACACTGAAATATGACGGTGATGCTGTGAACCTGTCCTTGGATCTAATGTACACATCAGCCTTGACTCTGAATAGATGATTTCAAAGAAAGTTTCGCCAAAAGCAACCAATTTAATTGTAACTACTATAGTTCTTATTAGAAGACAAAAGCAGAAATATAAATGGCTGCAGTGTGCATTCCTGTGCCAAGCTGATTCAAATATCTTCACCCGGGATTCTAGGCTGGGTATACATGGAACAAATATTGTCTGATATCTGCTGGTTTATCAGAAACCAGCCGACATTCGGTCAGTATATACAGCTGTCTTTCTGACAGGAG